AGTGAAGGGACTGGGGATTGAACCCAGGACCTTGTGCAAGCTAAGCACACACTCTACCACTAAGCTATACCCACCCCCCTACATAGGTCTGTCTTTATGCCAATACTACACTGTTTATGGCCAGTTGATTTTTTTACAAGGATGCCAAGACAATTCAAAACAGAAAGAATAGTATTTGTAACAAATAATGTTGGACAACTGAGTATCCACAAAGAAAAGAATGAAGTTGGATTCTTAATCACACCATATACAAAATGGTGTGTATTAACTCAAAATTTAACTCAAAATGGATCAAAGACCTAAATTTAGCAACTAAAACCTCAAAGCTCTTAGAAGACAACATAGGAGTAAATTTTTGTGACCATGGATTAAGCAATGGTTTCTTAAATATGACACCAAAAGCACAAGCAACCAAATGAAAAAAGATAAATTGGAATTCATCAAAACTAAAACCTTTTGTGTCAAAGGACACCATCAAAAAAGCAAAAAGACAGAATAGGAGCAAATATTTACAAATTACATATTAAATAAGGGAGCTATATTCACAATATATAAAACATTCTTTTAACTCAACAACAAAAATACAAACAACCCAATTTTAAAATAGGCAAAGGATTTTAATAGACATTTCTCCAAGGAAGATATACAAATAGCCAATAAGCACATGCAAATATGCTTAACATCAGTAGTCATTAGAGAAATGCAAATCAAAACCACAATGAGATACCCATGGGATGGCTATTTAAAAATATGAACAGTAATAAGCATTAGTGGGGAAGAAAAACTTCAACAAATAGTGCAGAAAATTATTTAAATAAACGTGGTGAAAAAAAGTTAGTGAGAATGTGGAACAATGGAACTCTCATACCTTGCTGGTGGGAATGTAAAATGGTGTAGCCACTTTGGAACACTTTATTTCCTCAAAATGTTAAATATAGAGTTACCATATGACCTAGAAATTCCACTCCTAGGTATGTACCTAAGAGAACTGAAAATATGTCTACACAAAAACTTACACAGAAATGTTCATAAAAAGTGTTATTCATAAAAAGTAAGAAGTCAAAATGACCCAAATATCCATCAACTAATGAATGGATAAACATGTGGTATATACATACAGTAGAATATTAGTTGGCAATAAAAATGAAATACTGATACATACTACAACATGGATAAACCTTGAAAACATCATGCTAATGAAAGAAGCCAGACACAACATACCAAACATTGCATGAACATCCAGAATAGGTAAATTCACGGAGACAAAACTTAGATTAATGGTTGCTAGGTGCTGGGAAAGGGAGGAATGACTGCTAATGATTATAGAGTTCCTTTTTTGGGGTGATGAAAATATTCTGAAATTAGATAGCAGTGATAGTCGTACAATTCTAAATATATAAGAACCACAAAACTGTACACTTTAAAAGGGTGAATTTCATGGTATGTGTAATATAACTTACTTAAACCATTATAAAAAGCAAAGGACATTTACTCAAAGACCACATTTTGAATGTGAAGAATCTGAAGAATTTGAGCATTTCTATATGTATCAGTGGTCTTCTCTTCAAATGAAACTATAAAGGTAAGTTACAGGCTGGGTGAAAATATTTGAAAAAAAATCTATGTGATAATGACATTTACCCAGAATATACAAAGTACTCAAAAATACAAAGACAAACAACTCAATTTTTTAAAATGGGTAGAAGACTTAAAGATATCTTCTTTGACCGAAAAAGATACATGAAGGACAAGTAAATACAAGGGAAGATGTTCAACATCATTATTGATGAGGAAAATGCCAATTAAAGCCACTATTAGATATTTCTATTCGCCCACTAGAATGGCTGAAATGAAAAAGACTGACAAGTGTTAAAAAGTATGTGGAACAACTAGAACTCTCTGCATTGCCAATGGGAATGAGAAATGGTAAAGCAACTTTAGATACCAGTTTGTAGTTCTTATAAAATTAAACATGCACTTAACGATCTAACCCAGCAATCCCACTTATTGGGTTTTTACCCAAGAGAAATGAAAACATGTTCACTCAAAGACTTACGTACATGAGTCCTCATAGTATACTTACTAATATAAGTTTTAAAAAAAATCCTGGGAACAACCCAAAATGTTCATCACCTGACAAATAAAACTTGTGATATATTCATACAATAGCATACAATTCAACAGTAAATAAACAAGTTACTGATATATACAACACTGATGAATTTCAAAAACATTATGCTAAATAAAAGAAAGCAGACATGAAATTCCTGAAAAGGCAAAACTGTAGTGATAAAAATCAGGTCTGTGTTTTCCATTGGCCAGAGAAGGAGATTGTCCACAAAGGGACAGAATTCTGTAGTGATGAAAATGAAATGTTCTACACCATGATGACGGTGGTGGTTACAGGACAATATACATTTTCAGAACTCATCAAATTACAGATAAAAATGGGACACTGAATTTGCAAATAATACCTCATTAAAACTAATGTTTTAAAAGAGCATCACCCAAAAAATTCATTTAAGGATGAATTGAGATCTAAAGGAGTATAGCAGTCCTTGACTCCTAATCTAAGGCTGTTTGCATTACAACTTGCAGATTTTTTTTAGAAGAAAAGCAACAAATGTACTTTGGTTTATTTGGTTTCCCCCCCTCTACTATTTGCTGGATCTTCTTGGGAACATGGTAATTAAATGTTTGTATTATCAGGTTTGTCTCCTATTTAGCTCAACCTGTGAGCAAGCCTCTTGATAATAAATAATTCATTGTAGTCCCCAGTTGAATGACAGACTGTCTTACAGTTTCGAAATCCCATCAGTAAAAGGGGGCTAATCTCCCTGTCAGGTCTCTAAAAGACGAAGGAAAACTAAGAAAGTCTCAGACAGTGGTTTGATAGAAATGAAAGGTGCTGTTTCCAAGCTTGTGACTTGTTTTGTGTTCCTCTACTGCCTTGTTCCAAAAGAAAGCAAATACTTCATTTGAGAACGCAACTATTTAGGTTGGTGAAGGATGTTTTTACAGATTTCATTTTGGAAAATCCAGGGAGCCCCCTGCTGTAGCTTCTTGTTACTGCACTCAAGCGATGCAGTAACAAGCTGCTCTTGAGCGACACTGCCATCAGGTGGAGCGAGGAGAACCACTCGGGTAAAACAAAAGAGCTAGTTTGACATCTTGTTCACAGTGACATAGTCTAGCTAACGCAGAATACCTTCAAATTGGATATAATTCAACAAACATTATTAAGAGTCTGTTATTTACCTGGTGTTAGGTTAATGCTTAAAGAACAGATACTTGGAGACATCTCTTTAGAATCAAAAGTTAAATGTTACAAAATACATGGCTTTACAAAATGCTCTTATGCAAATTATTGGGTTTGATTTACTAACAGCTCTGCAAGGTAGCTATTATTATTCTAACTTTACAAATGAGGAAATTGAAACTCAGAAAAGCAGAGATTTGCCCAGAATTACTTTTCTAGAAAGCACTTTAAAATTGAATAATTTCCATTATGGACCATAACTTTGGCCAGGTTCCAGGGATATAAGGGCAAATAAATTCAAGAACCTAACTGTTCACTGTAAATATGTAAAATAATTATAACACAGAGGAGGAAGCCCCCAGTTATGATAGGGAAAGTTAGGAAATATTTCTTAAGAGTAATAAGTTGAATCTCAAACAGTATAAATAAATTTGCTATGTAGAGAAAGAAGAAGATTCCAGGCAGAAAAAAAAATGCGCAAAATATGGGAACACAGAAAACTGAGGCAGTGAGAGAAAGGTGAAAATTCCATTGACTAGGGAGAGCATCAGATAAATAATGAGAAGTCATAGGGTTGAGCCTGGGAAACACAGTTGCAACCAGATTGTCAAGGGCCTGTATGTCATTCTAAAGGGTTTGGATTTTTAAAATCTCTGCGTATTTCCACTGTTTATAAAATCAACAGAGTAGTGTTTTAGGAAGATAACTCTGGAGCCAATGTAGCTGCTGCGCTTGGGGAGGTGGATTAGCTGGAGACTGTCGGAGTCCTCGGGCATGAGATGATGACAGTGTCAACCAAGGCTGACACAATGAGGATGAGGCCAAACAGGCTGATTAAAGAGATACTAGGAGTCAGACTTGTCAGAAGTGGGTGATCAGTTGGATTTGGGGGGTTAAGGGAAAGGGAGAATCAGACGATGACTCCAAGTTTGAACCACTGGGTGGTTTGGTAACCCTGCCATTAAAAACATGTAGATCACAGGATTTGGAGCCAGTAAGTGATGGACCCAGAACTCAACCCCAGGCCTTCTGATTCTAAACCTGCTCATTGTACTCTAACATACTGTGTTTTACAAGCCAGCCGTGCCAATTGTGGTGGAAAAATATTAATGAAAGTAACAAAATTCTTGCAAAAACAACCTCTAGCTATAGCTAAATTATTGTATTATCTAGCTTCTTTTGTCTTTTGTTGTACAATAATTTCTCAAGAATATGTTCCTTCAAAACAGAAACAGACTCATAGACATAGAATACAAACTTGTAGGGGTGGGAGGTGGGAAGGGACAAACTGGGATTTCAAAATGTAGAATAGACATACAAGACTATACTGTATAGCACAGGGAAATATATATAAGATCTTGTGGTAGCTCACAGCAAAAAAAAATGTGACAATGAATATATGTACGTTCCTGTATAATTGAAAAATTGTGGTCTACACTGGAATTTGACACAACATTGTAAAATGATTATAACTCAATAAAAAAGTTTAAAAAATAAAATATAAATAAAAACATACTTTAATGCATCTTAAGGAAAAAAAAAAGAATATATTCCTTCAAAGCCCCGATATACTTAGGTCACTTCCTTTCCGTCACTAATTTCCTCCTAGGTCTTGGTCTACTTTCAGAGAAACTATTAATGCAGAAAATTTGGATATATACAATCTAGCCCAAGTTATGTTAATATAATTGCACAGAAGTCAACTTGCTCCAGTTCAGAGGTGCTCACTGCCTGACAATACTGCAAGTTCCCTGGCTACCTGGACCTGTCATCATCAGTCAGTGATTCAGCTCTCAGTGTCACTCATTCAGTCATTGCATTGTGCTGACTCAAATACCAGACACTCTACATATTGTAGTTGATTCAATCCTCCTAATGTCTCTGTGACAGAACAGTTAAGTCATCCTCACTTTATATGTGAGGATCCTAAGACCCAGAGAGGCTTGATAACTTATCCAGAGTCTGACAACTTGAAGTATATATGCTAACTACTCCCACTCTGGCACTTGCAGCCAGAACATCACAAGTCCCAGACCTGTGTCTCCAACACTCTACTAGTCAATCTCACCTAGACGTCCGTCACATGCCTCCCAACTCAGTGCCTGAAATCAAGTTCACTATTTTCCCCACGATCTGCCACTCTTCTGTTTTCTCTCCTGGTCGATGGCATCAGTACACCCCTACTTGCTCAAGTCAAGAATCTAGAACTCAGTTTAGTCTCTTGACTTGTTCTCTCCACTTATATCCAGTAACTTCACCTTTTTCACCTCACCTTCCTGCTCACCTATTTTTGCTTTAAAACATGAATGACTATATAATCATTCATGTTTTCTTTACTTGAAAAATAATTTCTAAAAACCGCCTGTCTGGCTGGTATGTCTCAATAAAACTACAACTTGCTTTAAGTTACAGAATGTTCTTTGGAGTTCTATCATTTGCAGTGTCTTGATTAGTGATCATTTTTAGCTTTGCCCCAAGCCTTTAGTAATGTGTTAGAAAAAGTTTCTAAAGAGTGTATATATATATGTGTATATATATATAAATGAATATATGTATGTTCATGTATAACTGAAAAATTATGCTCTACACTGGAATATATATAACTGAATATATATAACTGAATCACTTTGCTGCATACCAGAAATTAACACAACACTGTAAATCAACTATATTTCAATAAAAAATAGAGAAAAAAGTTTCTAGATTTACAATAATATAAGCACATAATTTCTGGAAACAATAAGTACTTCTGGGCAAACCAACAAATTTGAAAAGCAAAATCATTTAGTCATGCATATGAATATGCTGCAGGATCATTTTTACTTCTGCTTTTTAGCGGTGATAAATATGTAGCAAGATCCTGAAATATGCCTTTTGGCCCACCCAGAATGTTAATCTTTTAGTAACTCACAAACAGTTTAATATTAATATATGGAGCACATAATGTACATTTTCCCTGGCTTCCCTGGTTTACTCTTTTCCACGCCAATAAAAATTCTTTGTACAGTATGCATAGCAGGTAAAAGTAAACTGCTTAGGTTTGTACCCCAACTCTGCTACTTCTAGCTGTGTGACTCAGGCAAGTTGCTTAACTTCTCTCTGCCTCAGTTTCTTCATTGATAAAATGAGGATAGTAATAGTGCCTACCTCATAGAGGTCTTGTGAAGGATGAAATGTAAAATGTTTGCACATAGTAAGTGATTAGTAAGTGCCAGTTCTTTCTTACTCTTCTGATTATAAAAAGTATATATGCTTATCATTCTAAAAAGTCAGCAATATATAAAAAGTTTTTTTTTAAGTAGAAACCTTCTGAACTATTTCATGACCATCATTAGCATTTTGGTGAAAATCCTTCCAGTCATATTTCTATGTATGTGTGTGACATGCAGAATCTGAAATTTACTGCAGAGGGGAAATTTTATATAAGGAGCACTGGTGCCTGTGAGAGAGGCAAGTTCCAGATCCTTCTTTGATATTCAGAGTTACTGAAGCAGTGGTCTTAAACAGTTTCGGGTGGCAGGCAACTAGTCCCTGAGACAAAAAATGCCCATGACCATCAAAAACAGAGAAGGTGGTAGACCTGCTTCTGCCCTGAAACCAAGTGTGAGGAAGGTTTGGGGTTGATGGGGCAGCAGACACCAGCCTCTGCCCTGTTTCAGCTCATATGAGAGGCAGCTTGTGATCCTAGTGAGTGATGTGTATATAAGCAATGGGAAACCCTGTCCCTCAAGAGCTCTAAGTCGGCAAGTCAAGGCCTACTTTGGAAAGCACTGATGTATTTGTATCCTCAAGCTCTGATTCACAAGACTTGTGTTTAAGGGTCTCATCGCTTGAGGAATAACCTAACTTTGCACCTTCAAACAAGCTAAACCCAAAGCTAGAAGGAAGAAAACAGTAACAACCAAAACAGAGATCAATGAAATAAAGAATTTAAAAATAGTAGGGGAAAAAAACAACAAAACCAAAAGTTGGTTCTGTGAAAAGATCAACAAAATTGACATTGAGGAATTTCATTAAGGTATCTTGGGGCAGGATACTCAAGAAGGTAAACTGTATTTTCTGCTAAGCTGGGAAGAATAGCATTGAGGTTACTATCATTTAAACAGGAAAAGAAATATGACTATTTTATTCTCAAGCAAATAAAGAAGATATACTTGTTATTTTTCTCTGTGAAGTATTTTACATAAATGGAATCATGGCATATATGTTGCCTAATAATGTGCTTTTTTCCCTCACAATATGTTGTGGACATCTTTCTGTGAAGCAAATATATAAATGTATATATGTATTGTAAGTTTTTATCAGCTATATACTATTCC